ACATTGGCCATGCTTTATTTCTCAAAATCTGCAAGGCTGCCCTTTCTTATGCAAAGAGATATTTAAAGGTAATTTTTTACTTGATTTCAGAGAACAAAATGTTCCAGAGAGAGAGAGGAATACACGGTATGATTTGCCCCTTTCCCCCTCCCTTACTACACTATAAAGAAGCGAAGTTTGAAAACAAGGTATAGGGCCGGGCACAGTGACCCATGCCTGTAGTCTCAGCCCTTTGGGAGGCCAAGGCAGAGGAATTGCTTGAGCCCAGGAGTTGGAAACCAGCCTTGACCACATAGTAAGATGTTGTGTCTACAAAAAAATAAACAAAATTAGCTGGATATGGTGGTGTGGCCCTGTAGTCTCGGCTACACAGAAGGCTAGGGTGAGTGGGAGATTGTTTGAGCCAGGGATGTGCAAACTGCAGTGAGCTGAGATTGCGCCACTACACTTCAGGCAGGGCGACAGAGTGAGACCTTGCCTCTAAATAAATAAGTAAATAAATAAAACAAGGTGTAAACACATTTTCTGACTATTATAATAATAGTAGTTGCCCTCTTGTTTTAAACTAACCAAAATGATGTGCCTGGTTTAGTTCTTCTAAATAATGTTTAAAAATACTACACGGTATATGAGTTTATTCATTTGCTGTCATACTTGCTTACTGTTTTGTACTTAGAAATTCAGATGTTGCAATTTCTTTGCTTTTCTGAGGGTTACTCTTTTTGTCCATTGGTGCGTAAGTCTTGAAGAGTAAGAAGTGGCTGTAAATATAGTACCAATTCTCATATTTTCCTATGTTTCAATATTTAGAAATATAACTGGGTTCGATTAATAATTCATTTATTTTTTCCCACAAGACATTGTAATCTGTTGCTTATGATATCCCTAAAAAAATTCTAAATCCTTTAATGGAAAAATGATTTCAGTTAGGGAAGGAAATGAATGGTTTTATATATGCAGTTTTCAAGTAAGTGTCTTTAAAAGAATACAGGGAGAGGGAAAACAGTACAAAAGAAGAATTATTTTTATTAACTGTTTTCCAAAGCTCTTAGTATAAAGTTGGCAGCTTTCAAAATGCCAGCTGTGGCTATTGAATTATTCCAAAATAAGCATTCTTAGTCTCATTTTAAGGACTTAGATCTGGTAGGAAACTAATAGAATCAGGAAAATCCACAGCCTTTATTGAGCACACTACTTTCTCTTATTTGAATGTATTTCCTGGTAAGTGTATTGGCAGTTTACTACTTAGTTTGTTCATTAACATTTAATGAAGCTGAGATTATAAAAAGTTCAGTAAAGGTGTACTTGTTTGACTTTGTATGCATGACAACTCATGACAAGATACAGAATCTGCTGGAAGGTTCCAGCAATCATTGCCATGGACAAAATTTATAATTGAACATTTTACTTAGAATGGAAATAAATCTTGTTTGTAATTATACTTAGAATGGAAATAAATCTGGTTTGGAAGTTCATTACATGACTCTTCTGCAGCTAGAGCAGTGTGCCCTTACACAGTGCCCTCAATCCAGTTTACAAACAGAAAGAGCCATTTGTCAAACTTAAGGACGCTTTAGTTTGTGTACTAAACTAGCACATTGATAATGAGTACTATTTTCAAGCTGTGGCTGTTTTAATGGTCTTTCCTCTAGCACTCAGCCCATTGCCCTCCCTATTTATCATTACCATTGACCTAATACAAAAAAGAAATGTTTATCAAATTTGCAGCTGTCTAAAAATTGGAAGGGACAATTAATACCATAGATCAGTGTTCTCAATACTGGCTGCATGTTAGATTCAACTGAAGACATTTTATTTTTATTTTTATTTTGTTTTTGAGACGGAGTCTCGCTCTGTTGCCCAGGGAGGAGTGCAGTGGCATGATCTCAGCTCGCTGCAACCTCCGCCTCCCAGTTCAAGCCTACTTCAGCTTCCTGCGTAGCCAGGATTACAGGGACCTAATCCTGTATGCCACCACGCCTGGCTAATTTTTGTAGTTTTAGTAGAGACAGGACTTCACCATATTGGTCACCTCAGGTGATCCACCCGCCTTGGCCTCCCAAAGTGCTGGGATTACAAGGCATGAGCCACCAAGCCCGGCCTCTGAGGACCTTTTAAAATAAACTAAAAGATACTGAATTATTTATGGATGAAATGACACAATGTCTAGAATTTACTTTAAAATACTCCAGGAGGGAGTATTTAGAACCCAGAAATTGGTACATATTAATTTCTGAATGACTTGCAGGGACTTGATGATGATTACAGCTTAATGAGCTGGAAGAGTTCCCCAAGTGACTACAAATGTAGTTTACCACTAGCTTCCAAATTATTTGTTGCATAACTTTATACTAATTGCCTGATTTCACACTTAGAAAAAACTGAGCAATTTCCTTTCTACATAGTGCAAGGCACTTATAATCTTGTGAACATTTCTGATGCCAAAAAGTGACCTTTGTTGTCAGTGATTTTGACTACTCCTCTCACATCCACATAGCCACTGTTAATCTTTAAACAATATCTTCAAAAAGATAGTTATCTTTTTTCTTTATCTATTGCCTGCTAAAGCTGTCCTGTATTCAATAGAATGCCTTCATTTGAAATTATAATTCCCTTATTTTAACAAATTTGACAAATTATTATATTTATTTATATTCACACACATTTATGTACGTAATTCTGAGAGAGAGAGCTCTTTTGGTTGTCTGTTGCTACTACTCTTTTATCCTTTTTTTTTTTTTTTTTTTGAGTATTTCCACATTCCTGTCTTCAAATTGAAAACATTCTCATAGTCACTATTTCAGTGCTAAAAGTGATAGAATTATTTTTCCTTTTATCTCCAAACCCATCAGTAATTCCCTCATTAGTTGAAGTAAAATTATTTCCTGTTTCTCTTGTCCTCATTCCCATTCTCTTTCCCCCAGTATGTCCTATTTCATAATATTTGTCAGGTTTTTCATTTCTATTTTTTAAAAACTTCAATTCATATCCTAACTTTTTATTCATATTAGATAACTTCTTACCTCTGTAATCTGCACATATTGCCATTGCCAAAATCTTTCTTGAACTTTGCCCTCACTATCAAAATCCTCTGACAAATTGCTAATTGATACTATGCTGCATTTGTGACCCTGGTTTTTACTTTTTATCAATTTCTATATCTACTCTCCTACCCTTTCCTTTCAGCTCTTTATGTCTGTGTCTTATCTCCTACTCTTCTAATTTACTCCCTCCATACGTATAACTTCCTAATCTCACATCTGCCAATCTATCTATATTCTCATTCAAATCTTGCTTAAAATCTTAACTCTTTTTAAGTGGGTAAAGATGGGAAGAGAGCGAAAAGCCTGATTTATAATTGACTTAAATTTTTCTTAAAAATCTGCATGCTAAATTAAAGGGAAATGCCTCATAAAGCAAAACCAACAATCAACCAATCAGAGCTTCCAGAAAAGAAAGGTCAATTTATATATTCCAGCCATCCCACTGATATAGTTAATCATGAGATCAACAAACTATATCCTTATTGTTCCCAGCAGTATGTTGAAAGTTATGGATATAAACACAGAGATAGAAGACATGGTTGTTGACCTCAGAGGACAAATAATCTAGATAAGGAGACAAAATTTGTGTACATGAAACTCTTAGAAAGTAGTTATAAAAACCAGGCTAATATATGCTAGGTTGTGTAGTACGAGTTGAACATCATTAATCTGAAAATGAAAAATCTGAAATATTCTGAACTCCAAAACATTGATTGCTGACATGATGCCACAAATGAGAAATTTTCACACCTAACCTCTTGTGACAGGTTGCAGTCAAAATGCAGTCATAACTTTGTTTCATGCATAAAATTATTTAAAATATTGTATAAAATTATCTTCATACTATATATATAAGGTATATGTGAAACAAATATGTTTCATGTTCAAACCAGGGTTCCATCCCCAAGGTGTCTCAGTATGCATATGCACTTAATTCAAAAGCTGAAAAAATCTGAAATCCGAAACACTTCTGGTACCAAGCATTTCATATAACGGATACTCAACCTGTATAGACTTTAAGTGCTATGAATATTCAGAGAAAAGGGAAAGTATTATTGCTTACAATTGCCAGTGGGGATTTCATAGGGGAAGCGGGTCTGGAAGAAAGTGTAGAATTCAGATTAGCTGGATTGGGCTAGAAAACTTTCATTAGCATTTCTTTTTTTCATTAGTATTTCTAAGTAAAATGATAATTGCTTAGCAAAGACCCTATGGGAAAAATTAGCTGATTGTTTAAGAAAACAGTGAACTTTGTTCTAGGAAATAGTAGGAAATATAATTAGATGATTAAACTGAAACTAATTGATCAAGAGCCTTGAATTCCTAATTGAGGAATTAAGAATTGTTGAAAAGAAAATCCCTCTACAGAAGCATTTTATTTAATCAAGGTTTTATCTTGTTTAAATATCTAAGATTTTCTTAAATTATAATATTATTAATTAATATTGGGTGTTATATTGTAGCTAACCATTGTTTTAAGTGTGTTAAATGTAACAACTCATTTATTCTTTGTAACAGCCCTTTATATTAGGCTCTGTTTTAACCTTATGTTGCAAATGAGGATACAGAAAGGGTAAGTACTTTAACTTGCTCAAGTTGACACAAGCAAGTGACAGAGCCAGAATTTAAACCTAGTAGTCTATAGCACTAGATCCTACATTCTTATCTATTATATATACAACCTTATGAACGAGATATATAAGTTCTGCAGATGTATTTTGAGACTTGGACAATTGAAGCTGATTTAACTTTTATTGAAAAGATAATTTTCTCAGATACTACTCACATTGGCATACTGTAATCTCTTTATCCCAAATACATTTTTCCTTTAAGAAAAATCTCCGTAAGGACTCTTTGGGCTAGAATATTTTAAAATAAATTTATTAGTTTGTTATATGAAGTGATTTGATTTATCTCTTGTAAAGTCCTTATTTCAACATCATTCTATTACAACAGGGCTTCTGGTTGGGACTCTTGATTCAGTCTTAGACTCTACTGCTAAAGTAGCTCCATTTCGCATCCTACACCAGACCCCAGATTCTCAAGTTTACTTGTCAATTGCATGTGGTAAGTATGATTTTTAAAACATAATTAAAATTAAATAAGGTTACTAAAAAGCTGAGTATTTATATTTATCTATGCTCTGTAGTTGTTTGGGGATTTAAAAACAAGTTACATGTGCAACTTGACTTTGAGAGAATATTAAGACCTATTTTTATTTTTAAAGGATCTGGGTTATTAGTTTTTTTAAAAAAATCCATTGGTGTGAGGTACCTGAAGCATGTGGTCTAGCAGGGCTGATTCTGAACAGATTTTGCTCACTGTTACTACTATATGACTCCTTTCTTTAACTTCTGCTTTATCCAACTACTGGGAAGATGGGTACTTCCCTATGAAATAAATTGTTTCATTTCTAATAACTCAAATGAGAAGAATCTGAAGTTATCTGTGAGTGCAAAACATAAAGGTTGTCCCCTAAGGAAGCATAAGCCTGGAAAATTAAACCTTTTTTATTCACACACCCATCTTCTCAGAAAAAGCATCATATCCTTGAAATATAAAGGAATGTCTTACAGTTAATGCTACATATTCATTCATGCCAGGGTGGTTCAGATGCTTCCACTTATATATTATGTGTAGAAAAGGAATTAGAATAATTCTTCCTAATAAAGCAAGTCAAAATGAATTTTTAAAAATCTGCATTGACAGTTTCTTACTTCCTTTTGTGATGCTGTTATAATGTTGGTCTAAATTAGAATCCCAGATTTCTAGCCTTTTGGTATTGAAAAACTGCCTTTCTGTCTTTTCCCACTCTGTTCTTAAGTAGATATATTATACTTTAAAAAAAAAGAACAAAAGTACATGAGTTTCTGGAACATTCATACATGTGAACATACAGCATATAATTTTTTAGGATGTGTGGCTTGCTTTTTATATTTCTCCCTAAATTTCTTTTAGAGTTGCCAGTGAGTCTTTTCTCCTGACTCTCTTAAATTGAATGTCATTTAACCTAAATGAGGATGACATTATACCTGCTGACCTCATGAGAATTCTGTAACCTCAACTTTTGTTAGTAAAAATTATTTTTTTAAAAAATGATTATATAACCTATTTCCCCAAATTAACCTGATGCAGAAATATAGTAGTTACCTACTAATGAAGCTCCCTTATACCAAAAGAATCAAACTTAAGGCCTTAACATTTCCCCTTGGCTTTTATTTGTGGATCATTAAAGTTATTATTCTTGGTATGGTGACTTAGTAACATGAATAAAATTCTAATTGGATTGTAGGAAATAGGCCATTTGCAATGTCAACAAAATTTTTAATATGCAAGTCTCTATATATTTAAAAATATACTAAAAAGTCAGCATATTTCTTTTGAAATTCATATAATCCAGAGTGCTGAAAAGACTTTAAAGGTATGTGAGTGATAGGGGGATATTGATAGATACTGAAATATTCTTCAAGCCAAAGCAACTAGGGCTAATAATATTTCATCTCACCCTCAGCAAGCCTCCTAACACTGATTCAGCAGGTCACATGGGTTTAACCTTGCTACAGAATTTCTAACCTCCTTTATGAAATTTCTGTAAGTTTATTAAGTCTTTTGATGAATGGGGTGACTCCGAACAAAGGTTTCATGGCTTCTGAAACAAGTAGAGTGGCCACAGTTGAAATCTACATTTACTTAGCATGTGTAGGATTGTTACATACATGCTGGTTTCAGCCACACATATTGTAGACACGGTACTAATTGCATTATTTAGAGACCAAGGATTGAATTATGCATTATGTATTTTCTGGTACTCTACATATTCTCTTAAAAGATGCTGGTTATTCTTTAGCCACTAGTAACTAGCATCTTATTTTCAGAATTTTATATATTTTCTCGTGAGCTGAATTTACTTTACTCAGCTTTCATTAAATGTTTTATTTCTATTTATAATGAGAAATACTGTTCATGCCCACATATAGGGATAAAGTAGAGAATAAATGTAATCCTTTTATTCCTTTATGACCATCATTTTTTAAAGTGATATTTTTATTTCTTTTTAAACTAAACTTTTAAGTAACAAGAGCAGTTGTGTTGTGGGGTTTTCCTTGAGTGTTTTATTTTCTTGTGTTATTAATCAGGAGCCAACAGAGAAGAAATAACCAAGCATTGGGATTGGTTGGAACAAAATATCATGAAGACCTTATCTGTATTTGATTCAAATGAAGATATTACTAATTTTGTACAAGGAAAAATAAGAGTAAGTGACATGGATATATCTTGTAGATGGAATACCAAAGTCTGTGACCCTCATATATGAAGATCAAAGTTTGCATGGAAGGTCATTGTTTCACTGGCACCTTTCAGGATTGGTAGAAACACACATATGAATTTCAGAATCAATGTGCCAAAGAAAACTGTAAAGTCTTTAGCACAGGAGGAGATTGATAGATATTGAAATATTCTCTTAACACATACTGGTTATTCTTTAGGTACCAGTTACTGACATCTTATTTACAGAATTTTATATATTTTCACGTGAGCTGCATTTAGCTTTTTCCCCTTTCATTGTCTTTGGTGCCCTTGTGAGTGCTCTTAGGGACATTTTAATTTCAACATCTCTTGAGTTTTGAGTTGAGTAAACCCTTTGTTTAGTCAAAGAAAGATATTTAGCACCTGTATTTGTAGTAGCTCCTTGTGAGGCATTAGGGAAAACCAAAGTACAAAACTGAAGAAAATCTACTTGCCTTTGTCCTAAGAGAATTATGTATATACACACATATGATATATGTACATGTATAGATATATACAGTCGTCCCTAGGTAACCATGGGGATTGGTTCTGGCCCCCACTGTAGATACCAAAATTCACAGATGTTAAAGTCTCTTAATGTAAAATGGCATAGTATTTGCATATAACCTATGTACATCCGCCTATATACCTAAAGTCATCTCTAGATTACTCATTCCTAATACAATGCATATACATCACTACATTTGAGTGGACTCTGCATAGTACTCAGTGCATGGCAAATTTAAGTTTTGCTTTTTGGAACTTTATAGAATTTTTTTCCCAAATATTTTCAATCCCTGGTTGGTTGACTCCACGGATGAGGAACCCATGGATATGGAGGGCTGACTGTACAGTTGTATTCAACCATTTGAATGTATGAAATATATTTTTGTTGGTAGGTGATGATGAATTTTCAGAAAAAATTTTTTCTCCTTTAGGGATTAATTGTTGAAGAGGGAAAACATTGTTTTGCAAAAGAAGATGATCCTGAGAAATTTCGAGAAGCCCTTTTGAAATTTGAAAAATGTTTTGGTTTACCAGAGCAGGAGAAGTTAGTGACCTATTATTCATGCAGTTATTGGAAAGGACGGGTTCCTTGTCAGGGTTGGCTTTACCTTAGCACCAACTTTCTGAGCTTCTATTCTTTTTTGTTGGGATCAGAAAGTAAGTGGTTTCTATTGCTTACCATAGCCTTGAACTTGCTGTATGACCTATCAACTCTAATGGTGTTAGGTTATAAATAAAATAATAGGATTGATATTAAAGGTAATTAAACTGTACAATAAAAAGTTTATTTCATCTAGGGATATAATCCTTTTAAGACTGGTTGCTTAACATAAAACCATTAGAAGTGTATATAGAATGCCTTGCATATTGTGGGAAGTGAGTCAGTATTAAATGATGACGATGATCTAGCATATGACTGTTTTCAATTCCTTGTTATAAACTATCTACTTGCTTTAGTCTGTGTTTTAATCTGTTTTAAACATACAATTTAAATATAGTGGCCATAGTACCTAATGGCCCACATCTCACTTTGTAGCCACAAAGAAGAATCAAACAGTACTATTGATAGCATGCATATGAACAGCTTTTATATTGGTAGTTATATAATTTTGTAATTATGTAAAGAAATAGATTTAAATACCAAATTAGAATCATTTTTTTAAAAATTATTATTTTTATTAGTAGCTAGTCGTACGTTCCTGGTTATGTTACAACTTAGAATTGTAAAGTTAGAATTGGGAGATTTTGTATATTTTAATGTATATGTAGAAACTTTTAAAGAAAGGCTTTCTATTTATTCTTTCCTTTTGGAATACACACACACACACACACACACACACACACACACACACATACACACACACACACACACACATAGATGTAATTTTTTTCATTTTTTAAATTTTACTTTAAGTTCTGGGGTACATGTGCAAATCATGCAGGATTGTTACATAGGTATACACTTGCCATGGTGGTTTGTTGCCTCCATCCCCCTGTCACCTACATTAGGTATTTCTCCTAGTGTTATCCCTCCCCAATCTCCCCACTCTCTGCTATCCCTTTCCTGGGCCCCCACCCCCCACCAGACCCCAGTGTGTGATGTTCCCCTCCCTGTGTCCATGTGTTCTCATTGTTCAATATCTACTTATGAGTGAGAACATGTGGTGTTTGGTTTTCTGTTCTTGTGTCATTTTGCTGAGAATGATGGTTTCCAGATTCATCCATGTCCCTGCAAAGGACATGAACTCATCATTTTGATGGCTGCATAGTATTCCATGGTGTATATGTGCCACATTTTCTTTATCCAGTCTATCTTTGATGGGCATTTGGGTTGGTTCCAAGTCTTTGCTATTGTAAACAGTGCCACAATAAACATACATGTGCATGTGTCTTTATAACAGATCGATTTATAATCCTTTGGGTATATACCCAGTAGTGGGATTGCTGAGTTGAATGGTATTTCTGGTTCTAGATCCTTAAGGAATCACCACACTGTCTTACTTAAAATTACATTGGGCACAGTGGCTCAGGACTATAATTCTAGCACTTCGGGAGGCCAAGGCAGGAGGATCACTTGAGACCAGGAGTTCAAGACCAGCCTAGGCAATATAGTGAGACTCTGTCTCTACAAAACAATTTTTAAATTAGCTGGGCATGGTGCACATGCCTGTAGTCCCAGCTACTTGAGGAGACTACTTGGGATGCAAGGATCACTACAGCCTGGGAGGTCAAGGCTGCAGTAAGCCATGATCACATCACCTCACTCCAGTCTGAGCAGCGGAGTGAGACTGTATCTCGAAAGAAGTTATTTAAAATTAGATCTCTTCCTGCAATCACCAATTCTTGCACGTTCATGTTGATGCTTCAAAATTTTAACTAGTCTTGAAACTATTTTAGCTGTTTATAGTATTTTTCAAGGGGTTAACTATTGTTTCAAAATACCTGATTAATGAACATAAATCAGTATGAGAATTTAATCATACGTGCTTATACCTCTTATTTGCAGTAAAACTCATTATCTCCTGGGATGAAGTCTCAAAACTTGAAAAGACTTCAAATGTCATACTGACAGAGAGTATTCATGTGTGTTCCCAAGGAGAGAATCACTACTTTTCAATGTTTTTGCATATTAACCAAACATACCTTCTTATGGAACAGCTGGCAAACTATGCCATTAGAAGACTTTTTGATAAGGAAACATTTGATAATGACCCAGTCCTTTATAATCCTCTACAAATCACCAAAAGGTATTCAAAGCTTAATTTTTACTTTTCAAAGTATTGTTTGACCGTAAGAATGATAGTATTGCTTAGCATTAAAAGTTAACTCTTCTATGTTATATGATACGTTTTTTTGGAGTTGATCATGTTTGTGTGTGTGTTTTGTGAGTTTGTTCAAATGCATTGCATAAATAGTGCCCTTCTCTCCATGGAATTTAATTGTAAGAAATAATAGAAGTTAGGTTTGAAAATTATTATTTTTTTAGATTCAGATAGGACTTGTCCTGGAATACGTTTAGAAATGCAGAGATTTGTGTGTGTGGTTAGTCTAACTCCAAATTTCTCTATGAATAGTCTAGACAGTTTGGGTATGAAATGGTTAAACAGACTGTGTTACTTATAGAAAACTTTTTTTTTAAATGAAGAGGCAAGTTTGTGGAGTCAGTGGAGCGTGGACTTTAGAGGGAAAGTAGAACAACTCTTAGACAAGTCATAATCTCTCAGGACCTCATTTTCCTCATCTGTCATTTCTACCTCAAAAGACACATATGGGGAATGAGCACAATATGTGTGAAACCACTTTGTAAAATATAAAATATGAGGTAAATATTAATCATTATTAGTGCCTCCTTCAGAAGTACTTGTCTGATAGCTGTCTGTCATTATATTTGGTGTGTTGTAACTGACCACATATCTTTTATCCTGCTAAACATTCCAAACAGTTGACTAAAATGAGCATGCCAAAGGGGAAAAGGAGAGGAGAGGATTCAGAAATAGCTAGTGAAAGCAACTTCCGGCAAAGAGGATGAAGGTATAGAGTATATGGGAAAGTTTAAGAGGAACCTAAGCCGAAGTCCTATAGACAAACCAAAACAAGTGACCTAGAATGTTATATGGTCACTACACAGCCCTGACTGTGTACAGTTGTTCCTCTTGCCTGTTCCTGAACTATTCCTAAAATTCATGTACATAAGGATTTGTTTTTGAGCCTCCCTGCTTTTCTGGAAGTTAGATCAGCAAGATAAATTTTTACACTTCATTACCAAAATTAGGTCTCAGTGTGCATGATTTATAAATAGAATTCTATAAGGATTTAGAATCGTGTTTGTGTATTATAGCTAGGCATTTATTTTGTATTTCATTCCTTGATTGGCAACCATAAACATAAACTGTTTTGTCATTTTATTTCGCTTAAAATATAGACTAAAAGGCTGTCTATCAATGAGTTACCCATCACCAAATCTGTATTTAATTAAGATTTAATGAATCCATTTTTGTCTGTGTGCATTTTTAGGAGAGGCCATTGAAAATCATATATATCTACATCATTTTTTCTAGTAAGTTAAAAAAAAAACACTAATTTACTAGGACTTAGTCTCCAAATTGCTTTTTTATAAAATGGAATATCTTTATTGCCCTGCTTATTGTTTTTACAAATATGTATTTCTTTTATAGTTTAAACAATACAGAAACATAGTAATGATAGTTAAGTTTAGTGTATGTCCTTCTAGGTTTTTAATGCATGAATTTAAAAATATTTGCAAAATAGGTCTGAACATCACACAGTGTTCTGCAATCTGCTTTGTTTCTCCTCTTATATTATGGACATCTTTCCATTCACATAAATGGACCTTATTTTATTTAAATAATAGTGAGCCCACCAAATTACAATTTATTTGTTTTATCAGCTTTCCCAGGTTAAAAAAAATACCGTTTAACTGAGGTAAAAATTAACATGGTTTTGGTTTTCTGTTCATGTTCATGTTTATCAGAAGTATTTTGAAAGACATGATGAACTACCACATATTTAAATAGTATATGCAGGAAATATTAATTTAGTTTTAGCTTTGTTGGATTTGAGTTAGAACTTCCATGATTTACTTACTATACTAGATGGTATTGCTGCTTCATGCAATTGCTTAATGTCCCTAGAAAAATTATACCATTTAAAGCAATTGCTTTTTACACAAAGTCCACATTTGTCTATCAGTTAATAAGTCCTCTGTATTTATTGACACCTATCCTATGCCCAACATAGTATAAACAGTGTTACTTTATCATGCTTCTACTTTGGATTGTTTAAAACATTCATTTAAATTTTTACTTCGCTTAATTTTTAATACTGTCTTTTATGGACTACTCTTTCCCTCTAAATGTTTATGCCACAAATTTTCATTATTGTATTTTACTTGAACTGGGTAACTCTCTTGATTTTCTAGTAACCAGATATGAACATTGTTGTCTTCCAGGATTGGTTTTAACCATAATTACATATTATGCCTCTGTGACAATATAGTAGCCTTCTTGCAGATCACCCCTTAGAGATAGTTTGAAGACTTACATGATCTCTAACTTTTGTGCATTTTAATCTACTAATAAAACTAAATTAGAGAAAAATAAACAAAATGAGTTTGCAAGGAATCCATGTATTTTTTCTATTTTAGGATTTGTTGAAAAACATACCATTTTTAGTGTTTAATCTGTGTGCTTTACAGTATATTTAGATTAGTCAATATAGGCATATGTATACCTTAGAATTCATTTCTAAGAATTCATTTGTGCCTCATCCCATTTTTTCTTTCCTACAGAGGTCTAGAAAATCGAGCCCACAGTGAGCAATTTAATGCCTTTTTTAGGCTGCCCAAAGGAGAGAGTTTGAAAGAAGTACATGAATGTTTCTTATGGGTACCATTCAGCCACTTCAATACTCATGGGAAAATGTGCATCTCAGAAAATTATATCTGCTTTGCTAGCCAAGATGGCAATCACTGTAGTGTAATCATTCCACTACGAGAGGTAATGTAAATTTGGTTACATATCAGTTTTTAGTTTGAAAATGTTATCATTCACAGAGTAAAACGTCCTTTAATTCTATAAATTATTAAAACCTCAAGATGCAATATCCTTTTAGTAATTTAAAATAATTATTCTTCAGGATAAGAGTACAACCTTCTGAGATATTCTCAGTTCCTTTTAGTAAAGTCTTACAACTGTTACTGAAAGTGAAAATGTTAAAACTTTAAAATTTAAAAACAAGATAAAGGTTTAGGTTAATGCAAAATGGAGCCGATCATTCAAAACTTTGTGACATCAATATCCAAACTTAAACTATCACTTTTGGTGTACTGTGTCAGAAAAAATAACATTGATACCCTTTATGTAAGTCAAATAAATTGTTGCTATTTGATACTGAATTTTTACATTTTTAAAGAATAGATGTTAGCCAGACCTTTTTCTTGAGAAGTGAAATAACATCCACTGAGGTTACTTGTATGATTGGTGCAACTAGTACACAAACTCTCCTTCTTAATAAGTCATACTATAGACCAAAACTTTTGGCCACAAAAGTGTAAGCCAAGCACATTTTACTTGAAGGTGTCAACAACACAGGAACATTTAATTCACCTCTATGTTTTTTACCCCCTAGGTCTTAGCTATAGATAAGACAAATGATTCCAGCAAATCTGTCATCATTAGCATCAAAGGAAAAACAGCTTTTCGCTTCCATGAAGTTAAAGATTTTGAGCAACTGGTGGCAAAACTCGGACTCAGATGTGGGGCAGCTTCAACTCAATATCATGATATTAGCCCAGAGGTAATTAATTATACAGCAATCAAATCATTTTGAAAAAAAGGTTCGTATTTAGCATAGTTCATTCTTCAAGAGGAATTCATAGTACCTTTCCTATTTATGCCCATGTTTTTTTTTTTTTTTTTTTAAAGAATCTAAGAAATTATATTGTCTAACTCATATCCTAAAGCAGAAGTGAGAACTAAGGACTTTACTCATTTTTAGGAGCTGATACTTTACAAAATTATTATAATTTGATCTTTATTTTACTATATTTGTGATTTACCATATAACTTATACTTTCACATAGTTTGGCTTTTAACAAGTCAAAATTTATTTGAGAATTTAGTGAGGCCTCGAAAAAGGACTCCACCTATTGTTGCAAAGAGATAGCAATTTTAAACCCATCTGAATATCTTTTATTTAATATATTATAGGTCAGCCTTATTTATATAATCTAGCCAAAAGCAAAATAGTGGTATATCTGTTTGCCAGTAAAATGTTAGAGAGAGCAAGGAGGATTTTGATGTTTAATATGTCTTTCATGGAAATGCAGAGAGGTTGAATTCAAAAAAATTTTCTTTTACCATTTCCAGGAACCCCATGTTTTAATAAATTGATAAAACTTATTGAAATATAGCTATTTATATTTTAATTAAAATTCAAATAAAAAAATTAATATTGTCTTCATTGGCTATATTATTTTATTTAAGTTGGAGTATAGATCCTCTTACTACTATGTCCAGAATAGAGATTGAAAATAATATACTATGTCAATTATAATGAAGTATTGATAAAACTAATTTGCCCTCTGATAATTAAAAAGCACAATGAAAACATGTAATTAATTTTTTTTCCATCTCAATTTCAGACACAGAATTTCTACATTGGCCATCAAGAGTTTTTCTTACCCCAACTTTATCATCTCTCATTCTTTTTTAGTATGTACCCAGGGTATTCCTTAGTTGGATGTGGGGACAAAAGTAAAATCTGACCAGCCTTAGTAGTTTTCTCTCCCAGTGCTCCCAAATTCTTACTTATATTATGTTTTCCTTGTTCTGTTCTATTTCACATTCAGTCCATGTGTTAGCTTCAAAGCTCAGTTTATATTTCTTTTTCATTTAATTAATTTGCTTTTCTAAAACCTGGAGAACTGTAATTGTTCCCCTTAAAACTTTTATGTTCCTTTAGTAGCTGAGTATGCTCAATTGTCAAGAAAGGATTTTGTTTCAAAATGAGCTTACCATCTTTCTAAATATATGTCAGAATTCTACAGTTTTCTAGTTTCTCTTACTCATTTTTAGAGATTTTAATAAATATATATACAAAATACCAGTTAGTATACTATTTGCTTGGAAATACGTATTTTTAAATTGCCATAATATTTTATTTTCACTTAACATTTTTATCTTATCAATGATGAAGAATATTGGCCCATTTTAGTGTCTGTATATATCTAGCTTTAATGATAGTATATGTAAAAAATTAGTAAAGAGAAAGCTTTTAAACAAGAGCTAGTTCTATTTTATTTCTAAGTAACAGAAATTATAGCTATTTTTTATAACTATACTTATACTGAAATGAAGAGGAAAAATGCGTTCTATAATTTTAATAAACCTGATGACTTTTGTACAAAGAGCAAGACTTTTTAATTTAAATCTTCAAGAGTCTAAATCAACAAGTCTAAATATGAATACAGAAAGGACTTTAGGAAATTTTTCCTGTGGGTGTGTCAAAGACATGATACAAAGAACAAATTCTACTGGAATTAACTAAGATTATGCATGAATATCAGTTCTATCCAAGTTTTTATATAGGTATGCATTAAAATGTTTCACATTTTAATAAGTTATACTAAAACATGGGAATAAACAGGTTTAGTAAAATTCTAATAAACTGCTTGGAAAATACATGAATCTTTTACTTTTTTTGACACATATAATCAAGAACTATTACTAGATAAGGTAATTTTTCAAAACTACTCAATGAAAGAAAAATAGGCCCTCTTAGGTTAGTTTTAAGCAAAATGGCCTAAGAATGGAAAGCACTGCTGAAGATTCATTGCTTGATGCTCTTAAACTATATCATGAATGAATTGTAGGTTCTGTGGAATGTCAAGAAAGGTAGTAATTGATTTCATGCCTTAAAGTTTTTAGATGGACAAATAAGTATCTTCTATAGATTATCACAGAATATGTAAACATACTTGTTTCATATAATTATTATCTTAATAAGATAGTTTTATAACCAGGACTATCTTGCTAAGTTTTTAAATATAAGTAATGGGTTTGTTATCCTACATGATAATGTAGATAGAAATAGTAGTTTAACCCACATAACTGATTTTTTCTTGCCTTGGTAAGAATAAGGCAATGTGTTTTCTATGACTGTAGTATAAATTTGGAGACAGATTTTTTAGCTGTGGGGGTAGATTTATTTCTAAGTTAGGAAACCAGAAACTATTAAAAATGAAATTCACACCCTTCAAATTGTGGACTATGAACAAGGGCCTATTTGAGATAAGCTTCTGATATTTGAGAAAAGCATTTGTTCGTATTTTTTTGTTTTAATTATTGGTTTCACAGGTCAACTCTGGCCCCCAAACCACCATTTATTATACCAAGTTTATGAAGTATTCTAATTTAAATATAATATTTTATAGAAATTTACACATAAAGAAATGCTCAACTTTGCCTTATCTTTGCTTCACTGTTAGAGCCATATGATAATTGTCAAATCAATGTCACAGCAATATCAGATAATAAAAGTAAAACAGGTTAAGAATACCTGCTATAGAGTTAACAATCTATGTTGCTTTCTAGATGTAGTTGGATTTTGCTCATGCACTAAAAGTCTGATGAGTGCCAAGTTTGTCATAAGTGTGAACACCCAAATAAATGGAGAGAAATACATTTTATATATGTGTGTGTATATGTACATATATATATATTTCCAAGTATGTATATAAAACCATGGGTGAAACCTTCCATTCAAAGAGCCAGAGCAAAAAAAGTTCAAAAAATTTTAGTTCCTTGAATAATCTATTATACTCTCCAAAATTTTAAATATTATTTTATACTACCATCTTTGAAGGTAAATGTTTTTTATTTTATTTTTTTGTCATTATTTTTATTTTCCCACCACCTACTGCCTGTTAAAGGTGAATGTTTTAACGTGACTTTATGAATACTTAAGAGGTAATCATGGATAGGACTGGTATACTTGTCATCACTCTTATAAATTTATGTTTAGGGTTTCATTGCTTAAGAGGTTATTTTTCTCCCTCTGGGATACATTTCCTGTAGTTTAGAACAATAGATTAAGTGATGATTCAGTCATTTAAACTAAAGAAATATATTGTGCTTGAGATCCAGACTACAACCATGAATTTTTCAACCTGTATTTGCAAAAATGTAACTTCTCATTTAAACAGGTGAACTTAATATTAAGTAGTAAAGTCTATGATTTGTCAAACTAAGCATTTAAAAAATATAAGAGAATTGTTACTCTCTAATCATTAATTTTTCCTTTATTGGATTATTCTACCTTATCCTTTTATTTACACATTGATTTGACTTAACTTTCCTTGAATCCTATCTGTATTCATCTGTTCTCACGCTGCTATGATGAAATACTCGAGACTGGGCAATTTATAAAGAAAAGAGGTTTAATTGACTCACAGTTCCGCGTGGCTGGGGAGGCCTCCGAAAACTTACAATCACGGTGGAAGGCACCTCTTCACAGGGTTGCAGGAGAGAAAATGAGTGCTAAGCAAAGAGGGAAACCCCTGATAAAACCATCAGATCTTGTGAGAACTCACTCATTATTATGAGAACAGCATGGGAGAAACTACCCCATGATTCAGTTATCTCCATCTAGTCCTGCCCTTCACATATGGGTATTATTATAATTCAAGGTGAGATTTGGGTGGGGACATAGAGCCAAACCATATCATTCCACCCCTCGCCCCTCCCTAATCTCATGTCCTCACATTTCAAAACACAATCATGCCTTTCCAACAGTCCCCCAAAGTCTTAACTCATTCCAGCATTAACTCAAAGTCCAGGTCCAAAGACTCATCTGAGATAAGGCAAGTCAATTCCGCCTATGAGCCTGTAAAATCAAAAGCAAGTTAGTTACTTCCTAGATATGGTGGGGATACAGGCATTGGGTAAATGAACCATTCCAAATGGGAGACATTGGCCAAAACAAAGGGACTACAGGCCCCATGCAAGTCTGAAATCCACCAGGGTAGCTAAATCTTAGGGCTTTGAAATGATCTGCTTTGATTCCATGTCTCATATCCAGGTCACACTGATGTAAGAGATGGGCTCCCACAGCCTTGGGCACCTCTGACCCTGTAGCTTTGCAGGATACAGCCCCCCTCCTGGCTGCTTTCACAGGCTAGCATTGAGTGCCTGCAGCTTTTCCAGGTGCATGGTGCAAGCTGTCAGTGGATCCACCATTCTGGGGTCTGGAGAATGGTGGCCCTCTTCTCATAGCTCCACTAGGCGGTGTCCCAGTGGGGACTATGTGTGGGGGGCTCAGACCCCACATTTCTCTTCCACACTGCTCTAGCAGAGGTTCCCCATGAGGACTCCACCCCTGCAGCAAACTTTTGCCTGGACATCCAGGCATTTCTATACATCCTTTGAAATCTAGGCAGAGGTTCCCAAATCACAGTTCTTGACGTCTGTGCACCTGTAGGCCCAACACCATGTGTAAGCCACTAAGGCTTGGGGCTTGTACGCTCTGAAACAATGGCCCAAGCTGAACCTTGGCCTCTTTTAGCCACAGCTGGAGTTGAAGCAGCTGGGATGCAGGGTACCATGTCCTGTGGCTGCATAGAGCAGGGGGGCCCTGGGCTGGACTCACTAAACCATTTTTTTCTCCTAGGCTTCCAGGCCTCTGATGGGAGAGGCTGTCTCTGACATGCCCTGGAGATATTTTCCCCATTGTCTTGCTGATTAACATTTGGCTCCTGTTACTTACACAAATTTCTGTGGCCAGCTTGAATTTCTTTCCAGAAAATGAATTTTTCTTTTCTGTCACATCATCAGGCTACAAATTTTCCAAACTTTTATGTTCTGCTTCCTCTGGTACACTTTGCTGTTTAGAAATTTCTTCCACCAGGTATCCTAAATCATTTCTCTCAAGTTCAAAGTTCCACAGATCTCTAGGGCAGGGACAAAATGCCACCAGTCTCTTTGCTAAAGCATAGCAAGAGTCACCTTTGCTCCATTTCCCAAGAAGTTCCTCATCTCCATCTGAGACCACCTCAACCTGGACTTCATTGTCCGTATCACTATCAGCATTTTGGTCAAAGCCATTCAACAAGTCTCTAGGAAGTTCCAAACTTTCCCACATCTTTCTGTCTTCTTCTGAGCCCCCCAAACCATTCCAACCTCTGCCTGTTACCCAGTTCCAAAGTTGCTTTCACATTTTGGGGTATATTTACAGCAGCACCCCATACCAATTTACTGTATTAGTTCTCACACTGCTATGAAGAAATACCCAAAACTGGGTAATAAAGAAATGAGGTATAATTGACTCACAATTCCACATGGCTGGGAAGGCCTCAGGAAACTTATTATTATGGCAGAATGCATCTCTTCACACTGCATCAGGAGAGGAAATGAGTACTGAGCGAAGGGGAAAGCCCCTTATAAAACGATCAGGTCTCTTGAGAACTCAGTCACTATCATGAGAACAGCATGGGGTAAACTGTCCCCTTGATTCAGTTATCTCCATCTGGTCCAACACTTGACACATGGGGATTATTACAATTCAAGGTGAGATTTGGGTGAGGCCTCAGAGCCAATCTTAATGTCCAATCCTGCTAGGGCTTGTGCTTGCTTCTTGGATTTCAAACTAAAATACCACTGGATTGCTCCACCCTAAGCTGTTACTTCTTTTTCTCTGCCTCAGTCATGGGCATTCTTTATCTTACTTAAGCTACTAAAGTTTAAGGATGACCTTAGTGCATCTTTTTTTCTTTTCTTTTCTCTTTTCTTTTCAGCACTCCTAGTAGTAACTTGTAATATCTGGTATAGTTATAACCTGTAGAAGCTGGGTAACCGATATGTTTTAAAAGTAAAACTTTGTAGTTCATACAGTTTTATATGGAAATATAAAGGACTCAGAATAACTAAAACAGTATTGAAGAGGAAAAACAAAGTTGGAAGACTCATGCTTTCCAATTTCAAAGCGTATTATATAGCTGTAGTAAACAAGACATTGTGATACTGGCATAAGGGGAGACATGTAGATCGAAGTAATAGAATTGAGAGTCTAGAAATAAATGCTCACATTTAAGGCAGTTAGTTTTCAACAATGAAGCCAAGCTAATTCAATGGGGATACTCCACACCCCAAAAAAGATGTTGTATTCTTTTCTTAAAACATACACAAATATTAACTTAAAATGGATTAAAGACCTAAATGTAAGAGCTGAAACTATAAAACTCTCAGAGAACATGTACAAATTAATCTCCGTGATTTTGAAGTAGGCAATTGTTAATAGATATGACACCAAAAGCATGTGACCCTTAAGAAAAAAATAGGTAAATCGGATTACACCAAAATTAAAAACTTTTGTGCTATAAATGATATCATCAAGAAGGCAAAAAGACAACCTACAGAATGGAGGGAATATTTGCCAATTATGTGTCTGGTAAGGGACTTCTGTCTAGAATGTATAAAAAATTCTTAGGACTAATAATAAAAGGCAAACAACCCAATTTCTAAAATGGTTAAAGGATTTGAATGGACATTTCTCTAAAGAAAATAAAGAAATTGCCAATACGTACATTAAAAGATTTTTCATAACATTAGTCATTAGGGAAATGCAAATCAAAATCATGATGAAATACCATTTTATATCCCCTACGGTGGCTATAATTAAAGAGACATACTAACTGTTGAGAAGGATGTGAAGAATTGAAACTCTCATATATTGCTGTTGGGAATGTAAAATAGTGCAACCCTCCCCCTATACTTTCTATCCTCTAATAACCATCATTTCACTCTATACTTCTATGAGCTCAACTTTTAACCTCCTTCATATGAGTGAGAACATATGGTATTTATCTTTCTGTGCCTGACTTACTTCACTTAACATAATATTCTCCATGTTCATCCATGTTACTGCAAATAAAAATGATTTATTCTTTTTTTGGCTGAATAATATTCCTTTGTAAAATTTATCACATTCTCTGTATCCATTCATCTGTTGGTGGACATTTAGGTTGATTCTATATCTTGGCTGTTCTGAGTGATGCTGCAAGAAACATGGGGGTATAGTTTATATATTTACATTTATTTCACATTGCATGACGGTATCAACACATCTTCATAAGTACTTGGTATTTTCAATGTTTTGGGTTTTGGTAAGTGTGTAATGTTGTTTTAATTTGAAATTACTTAGTGACATCTGATGTTGAACCTCTTTCATATGATTATCTGCTATTTATATCTTCCCTGGTGAGGTATCTGTTTAGATCTTTTGCCTACTTTTTATTGGGTCCTTAATTTTTTTAGGCATAGTTTTCTTTAATTCTTTGAATATATTTATAATAGCTGCTTTACAGTCTTTATTTATGAAATCCAACAAGTGGGCCTCCTCAAGACACTTTCCATTGGTTGCTTTTTTTAAGTTCTTGTTTCTGTTTTTAATCCTGACTTCCTTGGATCACCCCCTGAATCAGTATAACTTAGTGGCTATTCAGTGATGGGTTAGATTTTCTTAAATGCCTTATGGTATCAAATATTCTACCTTTTTCTCAAGGATATCTGTGTGAAAGTATACCGAAAACTTCAAACAATTTACAAATCAGCTTTAGTTTTGTTTTGTTTTGTTTTGTTTTGTTTTTCCTGCTTTCAAAGATAGCCAGAGTTGAGTGACTGGGGCCTTCTTCTGTCCCATTTCTTTCCTAGGCATGCTCGCAGCCCTGTACATGTATTCATTCTTCTGGATCTCCAAGAATATGTTGCAGCCTTTCAAAGTTCCATATCATCATCTGGTTTTTCAGGTCTTCCTTTTAAATTTTTAGCCAGGGTCTTGCTTGCTCTAGCTGAAATCATAGCTTTGGACAGCTAGGATGTTACCAGCCAGTTGCTATTGTTTTCTATAATACTCTGGAACAGAGTTTTTTCACCAAGCTGAGCTGTGAATCAAATCAAATAGCAACACCCTGGGAATAGAGATTTTCCAGGGAGTTGCAAGTTCAGTCAAAATATTGTCTATGCCCTGGGGATAGGGCTTTTAATGAAACTCCAAAAAATCCACTGGCTGCCCTACTGCTGGCTTTCATTTCTGAGCTTGGGCAGGTGGAAAGAGTTGAAAACCCCACAGACTCTTCTGGTCTTACTCAGGCTCATTAATGTTTCTCGAATAGATGCTTTTCAGTTTATTGCATGCCTTTGGTTAATTCCAGTGTTCTGAAATGGCTTATTTTTAATGTTTTGCCAGTATTTTATTGCTTTTGTGGGGGAGTATGTTCACAGAGGCTCTGAGTTTGCCATCCTAGAAGTCAGGTTGTTGACATCTCTAATTTTCGTAGGTATGTCTCTGAGATATTGTGGTATGTATATAGACTGTGGTTTATAAATGACAGACAAACATTAGAACTTATTTTTCTTGCAGAAACTTCTAAGCATGCATCTGGGACAATTACATTCTTTCTTTTTCAGCTTCCTATTTGTTCTGAGTCTACAGATCCATCTAATAATATTGAGGTGCAATCTTTGACAAGTCAGAAAGAATGCAGTAAAACTGTGAGCACTGAAGCCTTGATGACAGTATTTCACCCTCAGAATTTGGAGACTCTTAATTCTACAATGGTAGGAAAACAAAATATTTAAGCTTATGGGCTAAAACAGTTGATGAAAAATGAAAATCTTGAAAGCAGACTAGAAGATACCACAACTGAAAACTCATCTTTTGGGACTTGAAAAGTTTTCCAGCAGGTTCTACTGTGTAACTTATTTAGTTCCATTGTACACAAAGACTGTTATCAGGAATGAAGAGAGAAGATAAAAGTTGGACATTGGGGATTTTTACAGATACATAATTGTTGTACATATTTATTGACATTGGGTTTTATTTGCATAGATTTCTAATCCTGAAATACATGTGATTTGGAGAGAATGATGGCTTAAAGCTTTGCTTCCCAAGTATAACACATTTTACCATTTTTATATGAGTTTAGCTAAGAATTCAAATAGTAAATTAAACCTGCTATGCTCACATGAGTTTAAAAGATTTTCATGATGAAAGAATTCAGTGTTTCACCCCTAGGTGAATACTAATTTTGGTTTTCTATGTCCTTGATTTCCATAGATGTTGTTTCAAGGTAAACAGACTGAGCAGGTTATTTTAAAGAAGTTACTTTCTCACTAGGTTTAGTTGATTTGATTTTTCTGTTATTACAGTTGAAAGAAAAAATGAAGGAACAGTCATGGAAAATACTATTTGCAGAATGTGGACGTGGTGTTAGTATGTTTCGAACTAAAAAGACTCGAGATCTTGTTGTAAGAGGGATTCCAGAAACCTTAAGAGGAGAACTCTGGATGCTTTTTTCAGGTATTACATTTATTCACTTTACTTATTTAGCAGACATTAACTATGCCTTTCTAGGAGTTATGCCATAAGCTAAAGTGAAATAATCACAAAGATGGTTAGTACAAAGTTTTACTAACCTTTAGTTAACACTAGTGAAAAGAGAAAGGTAAGTAGTTATTTGCACCTTACCTATATATCCACATATTCAGCATCTCAGCAGATTAGTTTATTAGGAAGATATCTATCTATCTATCTCTATCTATCTATATATAGATAGATAGAGATAGATAGACATATATATAGATATATAGATATAGATATATATAATAGGGGGATCTTTATCTCTAGTGTCAACAGTCAGGTTAAGGGTGAAAAAAGCTCATAAAAATGATATTCTGTTGGATAAAATTAGTAGCTTGACATAGATTGTAGTGTAAAGTTCTTTTCTGTTTGTGCTCAGAAATCACTTGAGCATAAGGCTAAATATTAAGATAATGAAATCCAATTCTTTATGTATATATGAAAATAGTAGCTTTATTATATCCCTCTTCTGCTGTAATGTAATAATCTTCACAGGTGCTGTTAATGACATGGCTACTAATCCTGGCTATTATGCTGAAGTTGTTGAGCAGTCCTTAGGGACCAGCAACTTGGCTACTGAAGAAATTGAACGTGATTTGCGTCGCTCTCTGCCTGAGCACCCTGCCTTTCAGAGTGACACTGGCATATCTGCTCTGAGAAGGGTACTCACTGCTTATGCATACAGGAATCCCAAAATTGGATACTGCCAGGTATGACTTAACTATGAGCCCTACTGTGTGTATGTTCCAAATAAAATCACATCAAATCCAACTCCACTAATTTGGAAGTGGTGATTATAAGGACAAAGATTATGGTGAGATAGATGGAGGATGATATTAATGTAAGTAGGATGGTAATGGGAATACTTAGGAGAATTGGTATTTCATTATTTGTCTTTTTCATTTGACAAATGTTTATTGAACTTCTGCCCTATAAAACATACTGTGCCAGGCACCTAAGGCTATATAAAGATGTATCAGATAAGAGTCCTGCTCTTAAAAATATGTAGACCAAGAGATGTTAAAGCATATTCATTAAGAAACAAAACACAAGTGAGACAAACAGAGAAACAGAAAGTCCTGTCATGATGCATAATAAGGAGAAACTATTTTTTTCACTGGGAGGAATCAGAGAAGGCTTTGTGGAAAAGATAGCATTTGCAGATCTTAAAAATTGGTGAATTTTGGACATATGGAGATGGAATGAAAAGAGCATGCCAGGTGAAGGGATCCGTGTAACTGAACACAGGTAGAGGTAAATGTAGAGTATATAGGACCATGTTTGTTTAGTTTTGTAGAAGCATAGGGTGGATGAAGTGAAGTAGTTGGAGAAAAAAATCAGTAAGGTAGATTGGGAGAGAGCTGGAGTTTGAATTTTATTTTATAGGCAGCAGAGGAATCATTGGAAAAAAATTGCACACCATCAATTAGGGTAGGCTAGACTGCTAACACAAACACAGATAATAGATTAAACACAATAGAATTTTATTTCTTGAAGGAATAAACAAAGGAGATTAACTCTTCAGATCAGTATGGAGTTCTCCTCCATGAGATTATTCAGGAACTTAAACTGTAAGCTGACAGCAGACTGTCATTTTCAAAAAAAAAAAAAAAAAATGCTTCCCAAGTCCACTTTCATCACCATTAGCTCTCACAGGAACAGGGAAAGAGCATGGAGAATAACTGTAGAAGAGTTTATGGGCTAGGCGTGAAAGGGGCAAATGTCACTTCACCCACATTCTATTGGATGATCTTGGTCACATGGATACACCTATTCACAAGGAAGTTTGTGGAGTATAGTGTGGCTGAGCAGATATGTGTAGTTACTGTGGAAGAAGAGGAGATTGGAGTATCATGGATAGGTAGCACTCTGGGCCATGCATTCATTTATAATGGGTTGAATACCGTAATTGTTACATATCAATACTACCTATCCACTGTAACTTGTCAATAGAGATTAAAAAAACTATCTTAAGTGAATGGAACATCTAAATGGCAAGTATTTTTAGCATATTTTAAGATCTCTGAAAGGTATAAAAGAAGCACAATGCTTCTTTTCTCAAAGAGCTTATACTCACAGACTCTGTGATGTTGTCTATAAGTGGTAGCTTAGAGATAGCTTCAAAATAGGCAGCACTTAATGTTTACTTCTAAAAGATGAGAGCAAGGTTAGAAACATGGAGGGCAAGAAGAAAGTTCTTTGGGGTTAAAGTATGAGTGATGCCATTGAGGCGAGAATAAGCCTGCCTTGGGAGATAAGATTGGCTAGGTTCAGGTTGGAGTAAAACAGTAAATAAGTTTGTATGGGACAAAACCATGAAGAATCTCTAAAGCCTGGGACAAGAGTTTAAACTTAATATGGTAAACAGATTTTATTGATTTTGATTTAAAAAAAAAAACCCAGAACATTTTCATCACCTTAAAAAGAAGCCCCGTATCCATTAGCAGTTACTTCCCATTTCTCCTACTATCAACCCAAGCAATCATTAATCTACTTTCTAGCTCTATAAATATACCTTTTGTGCACATTTCATATAATTTGTGTGATACAATATGTGGTCTTTTGTGTCTGCCTTCTTTTACCTAGCATATTATTTTCAAAGTTCATCCATGTTATAGCATGTATTAGGACTTCTTTCTTATGACTTAATAATATTCCATTATATGGATAGATACTACATTTTGTTTGTCTATTCAATGTTGATAGTCATTTGAGTTGTTTTCTTGTTTTGGCTATTGTGAAGAACGCTGCTATGAATATTCATGTACAAGTTTTTATATGGACATTGTTTTTTATTCTTGTGGATTTTTGTTTTTTGGTTTTTGGGTTTCTTTTGGCAAAGTCTTGCTCTGTTACCCGGGCTGGAATGCAGTGGTATGATCTCGGCTCACTGCAACCTCTGCCTCCCAGGTTCAAGCAATTATCCTGTTTCAGACTCCTGCGTACCTAGGATTACAGGTGTGCACCACCACGCCCCAGTGATTTTTTTTTTTTTTTTTTTTCAGTAGAGACGGGGTTTCACCATGTTGGCCAGACTGGTTATAAATTCCTGACCTCAAGTGATCCGCCCACCTCAGCCTCCCAAAGTGCTAGGCTTACAGATATGAGCCACCATGCCTGGCCTGGATGTTGATTTTTAAGGCTACTGTGAAACTGAGGAGGGGGTTGGGAATAGGGTAATTTAAAATGCCACAGAGCTTACTGGTTTTACTGAGATTCAGCCATTAAATGCTACCTGAATTGCTGTAAGCTATTGGTTAATTTTCAGAGTTCTAAAGTTGATTCTGATGACTTTTGTCAGTGTTCTTGATGCTTTTATAGAAGAGAGCATTTTTTAGAAGTCCTTACTTTGCCATGTTCACTATATCCCCTCCCAGTATGGCTTCTTGCATGGGAAAATGATTCAGTAAAAACTAAGCTTGACATCAAACAGTGTGCTAGATTTGGCATGAAATTGGCATAGTTAATATACAAATCTGTAAGTAAGGTATGAAAGTATAGAAATGAGCAACAGACATAAAAGGATTAATCACCGATGAGAAAATACAGGTTGATGTTAAAGCCTGAAACAGAAAGTTCAACCTCAAAGAAATTAAAATTAAAACAATGAGATACCATTTTTTACTATCAAATCAGTGAAGATCATTATAATTATTATGATTTGCAATATTGGCAAAGGTGCAGTGAAATAAACATTTAAACACTGTTGGTCAGAAATATAAATTGATATTTTCTTTCAGGAATTTAATTTGGCAATAATATGAAGTCTTTTGAAAATACCACTTGACCAAACAATTTCATTTCTAGGTATCGGTCCTGAGAAAAAAGTGTAATTGGATGAAGATTTATATAAAAAATATATCCATTGCAGCATTATATGAAATAGTAAAAAATTGGAATTAACCTATATGTCCAACAATAGTAGAATGATTAAAGAATTTATATCCACCTTAGATTATTTTGGTCATTAAAAATACTGTTTTAGAAGAATGTTTATTGGCGTTGAATATTACTATATAGTGCTAAGTGAAAAAATAAAAGTTTAGTACACAGTGTGATACAAATTTTAAGAGAAAAAGGGAGAAAAAAACTGCAGAAAAATGTATCAACTTGTTAACAGTTGATTTCTGGGAATGTGGAATATAAGAGGTTTTATTTTCTCCTTCATACTTTTCCATTCTCTGTAAATTCTATCCATTAGGGATTTATTACCTTTATAATAAAGGATGTGGCAATGTATATAAAAGTAATGATCTGACATTTGTAAGAAGCAGCAAAAAGAGTGGTAGTGGGAATGGGAAGGAAAAAGCAAATCTGAAAGACATTTTGTAAGAAGAAACCCTAGGATATGAAACGGATATAGCAGATAGAGGGTTTTCAGCATGATCAAAACTAGGATAGATAAGAAGAATCCTACTTGATAGGGGAAAGAAGATGTTCAGTTTTGGATATATTAAGGATGATTCATATCTAAGAGCTATTCATTTATAGGTGGTTGGAAATACAGATGAAGTTTGTTTTCTTTCATTTTAATATGTCTTTGAAAATTATGTAAGTTTTTTCAGATTAGTGATAATTAAGATTTTCACTCACTGAAATGAGAGAGATTTTACTTATTATGTTTTATATGTATTATATTACTGCTTCACTTTACTTGAATGTTACTTTGTAAAACAACTATCAAATGTTAGCCTGACTTCACCTTGTTTTGCTTTGGACTGGCTCACAGTTCTCATGTTTCCACAGTTATTACACTATTATTATTCTCAGTTGTTCTTGTTGCTGTCAAAAACTATTATGTTTTAAGAAATATAATTATTACCTGAGCAATATTTACTTTTTAAAACTGTTTTCTATGAATTTTAGGCAATGAATATTTTGACTTCAGTGCTGCTTCTATATGCAAAAGAGGAAGAAGCTTTTTGGCTTCTGGTTGCTGTATGTGAACGAATGTTGCCTGATTATTTTAATCGTCGAATTATTGGTAAAAGAAAAACCACTCACACACATATGCATACATACAGATGTATATTTCTTTTCTAAACAATTTTAGTGTCTCTTGTCTAATTACTAATAAAAGAGAAGGACTGATTAATTAGGTTGTGGTATAAAATGCAAGCAATATCAAAACCTCACATTCACTGACATTCTCAAAAGAAGAGCTTTTTGTACTGAATGTATATTCGGAAAGATTGTTTAATATGTTCCTTTTGAAAATAAAATACCTGGTCCATTTCTTAACAAAAATGGAAGCATTAAGTTTATAAACTCTATATTGCTAAAACAATGGTGATCTCAAGAATCCAGAACTACTTGTGAATTTCAGTAGTTTCTTGATGGGAGGGAGATTTCAGTCAGCTTAAAATCTCCACATGTGTATGAATTATGGAGATACTTGCAACGTTTCAAAGAAGGATCAAGTTCTTAGTTTGTTAATTGTATGGTATCTTCTTTAGTCAGCAAATATTTGCAGATCTGTGATCCCTTACGTTAAAACTTATGGATGGTCTCCTCTTTATACCCTAACAGGCTTTCAGGATTATGATTAGGTCATTGATTGTACTGTTTTTCATTATAATTATTTGTGTATTTATCTTGAGTTGTGCTAGATATTAAATTCCCTGACCATGAGACCACTTCATTAATTGGTATAGCTCTTATAATACCTAGTACAGGTCTCTGCATATAATAAAGACTCAATAAATAACTCTTCAAATGAATTTGAATTGCATTTCTGAAGTACATGACACTACTAGCAGTTAGATGTATAAAATACAGAAAGAGTTCATAATTTAAGGAAGAAGAATGAAATACATCAGCATGCCAATAGAAGTGGGGAAGTGTGGAAACAAATCCTTTTGAAAAATGTTTATTTTTAAACTTATTTTGATATTCTCTAGGTGCCTTGGTTGATCAGGCAGTCTTTGAAGAACTTATCAGGGATCACCTTCCTCAGCTGACAGAACACATGACTGATATGACATTCTTTTCCTCAGTTTCTCTCTCATGGTTTCTCACACTTTTTATTAGTGTGCTACCTATTGAAAGTGCAGTGAATGTGGTCGACTGTTTCTTCTATGATGGAATAAAGGCTATTTTGCAACTGGGATTGGCAATACTTGACTATAATTTAGACAAACTGCTGACTTGTAAAGATGATGCTGAAGCTGTGACAGCATTAAACAGGTATTGTAAGAACCATAACATTTTAAATCTGGAGGAGATTTGAGAGATTACGTTGTTTAATCCCCATATTTTACAGAGAAAACTGAGCCCTAGAAACTTCAATTTGCCTGAGGTTACAAAACTACTTGAATGAAAGAGCTACACCTAAAGTCCAGTCCTCTATCTCCAGAAAAATATAGCAAGAATAAATTACTTTGAAGTGAGACATTAAATTATTTACACATTTACACTAATATTGTTGATTCAGTATGCTAGGACTTTCATATTCCCAGTTTGAGCTATAAAGTGTCTATGTAGAAGTAGTTTGAGCAGGAAGAGGGTAGTTGATAATGTTAAATATCCTGTTGGGGGAAGTTATTCTGGTTTCTATGTGGTTTCAGGTGGGTTGAACTTTATTTTCCTAGTAGCTTTTGTATGAATGCTATTTTATATTGGAGTATATACATTGTATGTGTGTGTGTGTATGCACATATTTGTACATGCTAAATAAATTAATATTTGAATGGGCAACTATCATAATGCCACATAAAATCCCATCATGTACAGAATAAAATACAAACATCTTACTCTGACATTCAGAACTCTGTAGTAAGGGCTCAGTGTACCTTTCTTCAGTTATTTTCCCCTATATGCCTCTACATACACTGTATTCCACTCCTACTGAGCTGTGTGGTATTTGCCAAGTACTCTCTGAGCCTGTTTGCTTCCCTCAAAACCCAAAATGATTCCTTCACCATCCCATTCCCCACACCAACACCCTGCTAATGCCCAACCATCTTCAAATTCCACTTCTTGGCCGGGTGCAGTGGCTTATGCCTGTAATCCCAGCACTTTGGGAGGCCGAGGCAGGCAGATCACCTAAGATCAGGAATTCAAGACCAGCCTGGCCAACATGGTGAAATCCTGTCTCTACTAAAAATACAAAAATTAGCTAGGCGTGGTGGCAGGCACCTATAATCCCAGCTACTCAGAAGGCCGAGGTGGGAGAATTGTTTCAACTCAGGAGGCAAAGGTTGCAGTGAGCCAAGATTGTGCCATTGCACTCCTGCCATAGTGACAGAACAAGACTCCATCTCAAAAAAAAAAAAAAAAAAAACAAGTTCCACTTCTTCATAAGGCCCTTCCTTGTCCTCTCAGCTGAAAGTAACCTCTAACTAACTGGGGAGAAATTAGATTCATTTCTCTGCTTTAATAATGGTAGTTCCACTAATTCTTGTATTACTATCACTTTTTGATAGGTTCTTTGACAATGTCACCAATAAGGATAGTCCATTGCCTTCAAATGTTCAGCAAGGTTCAAATGTGAGTGATGAAAAAACCAGTCATACTAGAGTGGATATTACAGATTTGATTAGAGAGTCAAATGAGGTAAGTTTTTTCATGCCATACATATATTACCTAGCATATTTAAAATGATTGAACGATGATGTATCTCTAGTGGTATATTAAGAGTAAGATAATAATGCAAGTAGACATATAACTTAAAATGCAACTTAACTTTTTAAATGAGTTCTGTGAACTGTTTCCACTCCTCTGCCTCAATTTGTTTTTCATTAAATGAATAAATTCATTTGCTTTCACAAATAATGACCACTTTAAACATCTATCGTTGTATTAACAGGTGAATTATTCTCATTATTGTTATTCCCTTCTTAGAGATTAAGAATTTTACCAATGTTTTTGTACTTAGTCTATGCACATAGTAGATGGAATTCTCTCCAGTGAATATATTTAAAAACTGAAATGTGGGAGGTGAAAATTTGCAAAATCATTGAACAAGTCAGGAAATTACCTAGAAATAGAACCAAAGCCTCCAAGAACTGAGTCTGATAAATCTGATTGTAAAAGAAGAAGTGGATGTTTATCATGAATGGGTATCCACTGGAGTCATATTTCTTGCAGAAATATGGTAATATTCGCTATGAAGATATACACAGTATGCGCTGTCGAAATAGGTTGTATGTGATACAGACCCTAGAGGAAACAACAAAACAGAATGTGGTAAGTATGCAACCAATGGGGAAAAAACGGTTGGAATAATTTTTTTCTTTAAGTTTCTTTAGAAATTCTCATTCTGGGCAAATAAAATTAAAAGGACCAAACTTTTGAGCTAGATCCTTGCCAAAGTTTAGCTTATGGTAAATTATTTTATAGCGAAAATAAATTATTTTCTTCTGGTTGAATTATGTTGCTTTCTCCAACATGGTTTGTACTATTTGACCTTCAAGACCACTGAAACAGGGTCTGGCTCTATTACCCAGGCTAGAGTGCAGTGGCATGATCACAGCTCAGTGTAGCCTCTACCTCCTGGCCTCAAGTGATCCTTCTGCCTCAGCGTACCGAGGAGCTGGGAATACATGCACACACCACCAAGCCTGGCTAATTTTTTAAGTTTTTTGTAGAGATAGGGTCTCAGGATGTTGACCAGACTGGTTTCAAACCCATGGGCTCAAGTGATCCTCCTTGCCTAGGCATTCCAAAGTGTTGGGATTACAGGCATGAGCTACCACACCTAGCCTGCAGCTCAGTGTTGAATGCTGTGATGTTGGAATTTAAGCATAACATATTTGTGATGTGCTGTATCAATAACAGCTGATCTACATAGTAGTCAGTGCTACCAGTGAATATTATTATGCTTGGATACCTAAAGTAAAGTGAAAAAGGTATAAACAGTATGTTTTGAATAGTTGTCTTTTTAATATTTGGATGGCTCCATAAGCAGCTGTTAATATTGGTTGCCTTTGGTGAATCAGATTAATAGATTGCTGTTCAGAAGGCAGAGAGTTTTATTTTGCTGTTTATATTATTTTGTACTATTTGAGGTTTTATCATGACCATATGTTATTTTTGTAAACCTCCTTGCTTAAAGGCCAAGGTCCTCAGAGATACAAATCTGGAAAGATTAACATTTCTGAAGATTCCAGGTTTAGATTTCAATTAAATAATTCAGTGAGGTTACTGGGACATAGGTAGCATAGAGCACCTTGTTTTAGTTTTTACATGTTAGCATTTTAAAAAATTTACTGAAGTAATACATGTTGACTGTAAATAATTTAAGCATTACATAAACGTAAAAAGTAGATTTCCCGCACCAGGAATAACCATCTTAAAATAATTTGGCATATATCCTTTCAGATCTTTTCTGTATGTGTCTGCAAACATACCTGTGTAATGGAAGGATATAGTTTTTGAAATTAGATCATACCGGTCACTTTGCTATGCAATTTTTTTCATTCAGAAATAGATCATGGTTATTGAATATCAGTCTAGATCTACCTCACTCTTCCTAATGCATTGAATAGTGTACCATAATATGGATATGCTATAATTGAAGTATTCTGCTGATGTACATTCAATGTGTCTCCCTTTTTTTGCTCTTGTAAATAATACTTTATGTAAACATTCTTGTATATGTAAGAATGTTATATGTACAAGATAGATATCTGGAAGTGGACGTTGCATAAAAGGATATGCCCATTTAAAATTTGAACAGGTCCCTACCAAATTATGCTTCAAAAGATTTTACCAAATTGTAATCCCACCAACAGCATGTAAGAATGCCCCTTTCCTCACATTCTCACTAATACCAGATATTTAAAATGTTGAATTTGTTAGCCAGGCATGGTGGCACACACTCGTAGTCCCAGCTGCTTAGGAAGCTGAGAAGGGAGGATCACCTTGAACCTGGGAGTTCCAGGTTACAGTGAGCTGTAATCATGCCACTGAACTCCAGCCTGGGCAACAGAGCAAGACCTTGTCTCTAAAAGAACACAAAACAAAATCTTTAATTTGTGCCAATGTGATAGATGAAATATCACTTTTCATTTAAGGTTTCAATTCACTGATCACATATGTTTATTAGCCTTTTTCATTTCTTCTCTTAATTGCCTACTCATAGCCTTTGCCTATTTTTCTATGAGATTGTCTTTTAAGTATTGATTTTTAGGAGCTCTTTTGACTAGTAGTGTTATTAATTCTTTGTCAGCTATATTTGTGGCCTAATATTTCCCCACTTATTATTTCTTTCTTTATGTTTATAATGTCTTTCAGGTTATACAAGTTAAAAATTTTTATGTAGTCTTTCTCTTTTTTCTTACATGATGTCCGCGTTTCATATCAGACTTAGAAAGGCTTTCCTTATTTAAAATTATATAAATTATAAAAAATTTTTGTATTAGTATTGCTTTCTTAACATTTAGAACTTTAACACCTAGAGTATATTTTTTGTTTATTATGTGAGATAGATCTCTAATATTATGTTTTTCCAACTGAAATCATTCATTTTCTAAAAACCAATTATTAAATAGTCTATCCTCACAGTACTCTATTTTTTTTCTATGCTAAATTCTTACAATACATACATGGGCTTTATTTTTGGACTTTCTTTTTTTGTTACTACAACAGTACCACACTGTTTCAATTACTTTAGTTTGTCTACTTTGAAATCTGGTAAGGCTTTTAAAATTCCTTTTTAATATTCATTTTAATAATCTGTCTTCTTAAGTGTTCTTTAGTAAGCATTTTTAGTTTTCATCATGTAGGTCTTATACAGTTCTTAGTGGGTTTATTCTACCCCTATATATTTTATGGTTTGGCTGCTAATATGAATGAGATCATTTTTCCTTTACACTGTCTAATTGTTTATTTTTATAAAAGAATTCCTAATATTAGATTTGTTATACTCTTAAAATTAGTCCTAGTAAGTCATTTATCCAAATCCTCCTAAGATGTATTTAACCCTAGACTGGGCATCGTGGCTCATGCCTGTAATCCTAGCACTTTGGGAGGCCATGGTGAATGGATCATTTCAGGCCAGGAGTTCAAGACCAGCCTGTCTAATATGGCAAAACCCCACCTCTACAAAAAAAATTCCAAAAACTATGATGTATTTAATCCCAGATATAGGTGATGGGGAGGAAGGCAGCAAACCACATTGCCATGTATGTACCTATGCAACAATCTTGCATGTTCTTCACATGTACCCCAAAACCTAAAACGCAATACAATATATATTTAGATGTATTATTCTTTTAATCTCCTTTGGTAATTTTGCTAAATAGTTTAGCTAGGCTCTTTGCAAGTTTGTTGAAGTAATATTGGTTGAAAGCTTCTTCTTGTATTTAGGCTTATATCATAGAATGAAAATTATACGTAAATCATATATTTATATGCTCTGGAATAGGTTAGATCCCATAGGAATTATCCATTACCTGAAGGCTTGAGAAAATGAATGTGTAAAGCCATCTGGGTCTGCTGCCTTTTGGTTTCCTCCCTAGGAAATCTTTGATTTCTTTTTTCAGTTCCATCTATTCAAATTTTCTTGCTCCTATGAGTTGATTCTAATTATTTATATTTTCTTATGGGATTATCTATTTTGTTTAATTTATTGTTTAACATATATACATACACACACACTCACACACATATATAAATGTAAAGCTTATGGAATTCATTCAACAGATAGTTAATGGCACCTTCTATGTACTGGGAAGTTTTTTAACTTTTATTTTTATTTACAGTTAAAAGTTATAAATGTAAAAAAACGTTATTTTTAACTTTTATTTATTCAGAGGTTCACGTGCAGGTTGTTTTGTTTTGTCTTATTTTGTTTTTGACACTGAGTCTCACTCTGTCACCCAGGCTGGAGTGCAGTGGAGCAATCTTGGCTCACTGCAACCTTGCCTCCTGGGTTCAAGTGATTCTCCTGCCTCAGCCTCCCATGTAGCTGAGATTACAGGTACCCACCACCATGCCTGGCCTTTTTGTATTTTTAGTAAAGACAGGATTTCACCATGTTGGCCAGGGTGGTCTCAAACTCCTGTCCTCAGGTGATCCACCCACCTTGGCCCCCCAAATTGCTGTTTGCAAGTGTGAGCCACCATGCCCAGCTGCCAGTTTTTTATATAGGTAAATGATGTATCACAGGTTTTCTTGTACAGATTATCTCATCATGCAGGTAATAAGAATGGTAGCCAATAGGTAGTTTTTTGATCCTCACCCTCCTTCCACCCTCCACACTCATGTAGGCCCCTGTGTCTATTATTCCCCTCTTTGTGTCCATAAGTATTCAATGTTTAGCTCCCACTTATAAGTGAGAATATACAGTATTTGGTTTTCTTTTCCTCTATTAGTTCAGTTAGGATAATGGTCTCCAGCTCCATCCATGTTGCTGCAAAGAACATGATCTTGTTCTTTTGTATGGCTGCATAGTATTCCATGGTGTATATTGACCATATTTTCTTTATCCAGTCGACTATTGATGGGCATCTAAGTTGATCCCATGTCTTTGTTATTGTGAATAGTGCTGTGAAAAACATATGCATGCATGTGTCTTTATGGTACGATAATTTATATTCCTTTAGGCATATGCTCAGTAATGAGATTTCTGAGTTGAATGGTAGTTCTCTCTCTCTTTTTTAATATTTTATTTTATTTTATTTTATTTTATTTTATTTTATTTTTGAGACAGAGTCTTGTTCTGTCACCCAGGCTGGAGTGCAGTGGCATGATCTCGACTCACTGCAACCTCCACCTTCAGGGTTGAAGCATTTCTCCTGCCTCAGCCTCCTGAGTAGCTAAGACTACAGGTGCACACCACCACACCCAGCTAATTTTTTGTATTTTAGCAGAGACAGAATTTCACCATGTTGCCCAAGCTGGTCACGAACTCCTGAGCTCAGGCAGTAGTTCTATTTTAAGTTCTTTGTGATATCTTCAAACTGCTTTCCACAGTGGCTGACTTAATTTACATTTCCACCAGCAGTGTATAAGCATTCTCTTTACTCTACAAGCTCACCAGAATCTGTTGTTTTTTGACTTTTAAATAGTCACCATTCTGATTGTGTGAGATGATATATCATTGTGATTTTGATTTTCTTTTATCTGATGATTAGTGATGTTGAGCATGTTTTCATATGCTTGTTGGCTGCATATAGGTCTCCTTTTGAAAAGTGTCTGTTCGTGTCCTTAGCCCACTTTTTTATGGAGTCGTTTGTTTTTTG